CAAGTGATTTTCCAAAAATGGTGATGAATGCATTCAATATCACACATCTGGCAGAAACTTAGTTAAAACATACAAAAGTGTTCTGAAGTTGGAGAGATGAGATTTGCTTTGAGAAGGTATAGCTGGTGGTGATTAGAGACAGAAACCCAAGACAGACACATGGAGGCTGCAATCCACCTCCCGTGTAGCACAAAGCTGTACATGCCAGTTTTTACTCTGACCCCCAGCCGCTTGCTGTGGCAGAGTCTGGGAGACAATGCTGTTGGCTCAAGTAATTGGATTCCTGATATCCACATTGGAGAGCTGGATGAAATTCCCAGCTCTCTGCTCTTACCCTGAATCAGTCCCCGCCATTATGGGCACTAGGGGAGTGAATTAGCTGATGTGATAGCCCTCTTTCTTTCTTTGAATGGGTCTTTCTGTGTTTTTATCCTTCTTGCATTAAAATAGTTATAGAAAAATGGAGTTATAAACCAGATATTAGTACAAAAATAAAATAGGGATTTTTAAAGATTTATTTGTTTTTGTTAGAAAGGCAGATATACAAAGAAAAGGAGACACAGAAAGAAAGATCCGTCTACTGATTCACTCCCCACGTGGCTGCAACAGCCAGTGCTCAGCTGAGCCAAAGCCAGAAGCCAGGAACTTCCTCCAGGTCCCCATACCGGTGCAGAATCCCATGGCTTTGGGCCATCCTCAACTGCTTTTCCATTCCATAGGCAGGGAGCCAGATGGGAAGTGGAGTAGCCGGGACACAAACCAGTATGCTGATGGGATTCCTGTGCATGCAAGACAAGACTCCAGATACCAGGCTACTATGCCAGACCCTAAAATAGTTTCTAATTTTCATTTTCATGATCTTTTTGAAGATCCCTCATATTGGAGAGTGGGTGATGGATAACCTGGGAAAGAAAAAGACTCATAAGAATATAAAATCCTGCCAATCATGAAAAATAGGTTTTGTAAATGAAGTCCAGGTGCAAGAGACCATGAAAAATAAAACCGATTGCTAATCAGCTCCTCTTGGTCTGGTAACAATTGCCTAGTTCTACCTTTTGCTATTACTGGATATAGTGAACCTGATGTCTTATCTTAATTTCTAAACAGATTCTGCCAGCAGATAAGTGAAAGAGACTCGCATCTGTTCATATTTGACATTACCAGATGGTTTGAACGTCTGCTAAAAAAAAAAATCTTGAACATAAAGCTTCATCTACTTCGGTGAATAGCCAAAAAGTTTTTCTGTATGTGCAGTTGCATTGAAAGTCTGATGTGTATCGAGGTATTATTGGTGTTGTGAACAAAACAGCAATTTTATTCTGCAGAGTTACCGAGACTTTTGCCACAACAAACAGGCTCTTTAGTTCATTTTGGTGAAGGTCAAGATGTATTCCTTTGAGGCAAAGATGATGCGTTCTTCTAGGTACAGAAGGCAACCAACATATTGCATAGCTATGTGACTAACTGATTTCACATATTAAGGTATATATTAATTAAGGTAATGGGTTTTTAATAAGAAGTATCAGGCTTGAGAGTGAGCACTACCAGTTGATGTTTTTGGAGAGTGGATATACAGCAAGATTTTACAAAGAAACATGGAAATTCACCCAGTTGCAAGAGGTAGCTTACTGACAATCGGGGCAGAGCGGTAATTAACCTGTACGGTGAATCAGAATTGGCAAAACATGAGCAAGACAGTCCACAGCTAATTATTTCTTTCATTCTGTGGGAAAAGACAAAGTAAAAATGAGAACAGTAAAAAAAAAAATGTGAAATTTCTGTTTCTTTAGTGTAATTGAAGTTTAACATAATACGAAAGAGAGTCATAAACTTTGAAGTTCAAGCCTTTAAGCAAAAATTTAATAACCTTTATTAAATGAAAAAAAAGCAAATATCCTTGGTCATCTGGTCCTCATCATTTCTTATGTAATTAACTGTGTCCACTTTGATGTTAGCAAGTTATTGCAACCTGTCACTTTAGGGAAGGAATAAAATGACCATCCCACTCTATCTCTTATCTCAATTTGTAGTTCGGATATCTCTGTTCTTAAAATCCCACAGCAGCTCTAGTGCTCAGAAAATTGCTGGCAGACAAAGAATGAATCTACAGTCTTTCCTGCTTCGCAATTTTCGCGTCCTCACACTAAGTCTAACTTTGCAATCTTGCCATCTAGTGGGCTAATGTTGTAAGTACCACAGCTCACAAAAAACGTTTCACTTCCGTTAAGTCAAATAAAGGAACCAGCAAGAAAGTTACGTTAGATATAATATATCCGAGCAAAAACAGTGTAATGAATAGATCACCAATGAAAATAAAACACGATTCTTGTTAAATATTTGTATGTTTCTTGATCTAAATTTTGTATTCCATTTATTCATGGATATTTGCTCTTTTATTTACACAGTCATGGGAAGTATATATACATATATACTGAGATATGTATTTATTTTTATAAAAATGTGTTTATTTGACATATGTTCCATGTCATTCCATTTTGCCCTTATAAATGAACAGCGTTGTGGTTGACTTGGATAGCAGAACAAACACAGTTATGGTAGTGACTTGGTTTAGAACAGAATGAAAATCACTTTTGGAATAGGTTGTACTGAATATCCTGCATCATGCTAGGTTTTATCATTAATGACTCTTCCTTCAAGGTCAGAAGCTTCCTATATAGCAAGAGAAACACAGGTGGGTCTGATCAGCACAAAATAGAGTTGTTTGCCATAGAGCGAGCAAAACACTCTCTTGGATCTGTTGTTTTTTAAACTGAGGAAAATTCTGTTTAGGAACTAGTAAACTCATTCTGCTTTCAAAGCATCTTAGATATGTGCATTGATTTTCTTTATAAACTTTGCGATGGATTTTTCTACATTGCCTGTTAATTCTGAATTCTAAAGGAAAAAATATCCATTATGCAAAGAATAAAAGCCATCAGTTAGAACAGACCCTATCAGATTCCACGTGGCACTTTCACATCTGCAGTACTGCACGGTGCCTCTGATGGATTCCAGTGTTGATGAATGGAAACCCCCAGCCTTTGCTCCAAGCTAGGCAGTGTTCCGAAATCCTTGGAGATGCAGCCCACTGCTCAAACCTTGTCCAGGCCCACATTCCCTGAATTTGTCAGTTCTTCAAGCACATAAACGTCCTCTCTACTTCAAGCTCTGTTTTCCTTCCTTGCTTGATCAGAACTGCATTTTTCCTGTCCTGTCTCAGTTCATTGCATACAAGTTTACTCAAAAACAGCTCTTGAAAAACTAATTTAGAATAAAAGCTTATTTTGATACAAAAAAAAAAATGAAGTCTAGGAATTGAGTAGTCTTCATACAGTTCAGAATAGCTCGTATCATGAAAGAGTTTTGTATGGATTCCACAATTGTTTTCATCCAGATGAACTTACTTTTAATTCCATTTTCCATCAGCTTTTCCCCTTACAAACTCTTGAAGTATCCTCACACACCCTTCAGATCTTGGTTGTAGTATCTTTCTTCCAAGGAGGCCATCTAAACCTTGGGTTAGTCCTCTCATATTAGATATCATGTAATGATTTTTCTTAGCACTGCTCACCACCACACTTCATAATTACGGAGTTGTATGATTACCAGTTCAATTGCTACTGTTCCCACTTGATTACAGGCTAAGAGGAAGGCAGAAAAATATATTTAAAAAAAATCCTCACTAGCCCTACCCATTATTTTCTGTTACTTCCAATACCCAGTAAAAGTACAGGCGATAAGTAATGAAATCAACACGTGCCTGTGAAATTGAGAGCCGTGGACACACTGTCACAGCTCATACAGGTGTGTCAAGCCACCATTGTGATGAGAGTGATTGCTGCCGCAGGTAACCCAGATTTCTCAGGGCATACCCCGCCAGGAGCTTGTTGTCTGGCAGTTCCTGTTACCCCTGACTTGTTCATTGTCCCACTTTGTGCTACCTAACAACCAGAGGGCTTTTCACACGACTGACCCTCCTCCAAAGCAACAGCTCCCTGTGTTCTTGCCACCGGACCTCGCAGGTTAACAGGGAATCTTGAAAGGAACACAGACAGCGAGCTAGGAGTTCATATTTTAGCAAATTTCCCAACTTGTATTCAGCAGGAAATAAAAATAAAATATGCAAATTATATGAAATATTTGTCACAATTTCATTGTGTTTATATCACTTTCTGTTTCAAAAAAAATCATCTATTTTAGAATAGTAGACAAGTAATTAAGCTAAGAAATAGTCATCTTCAAAATTAGCTCTTCTAAATAAAGTTCCAGCATAGCTGAGCCAACTTTGTCAGGCCACTGGGCTAAGTGGCCTGCAATGACTCCAACATCCCATTAGGAGCACTGGTCCGAGTTTTAGATGCCCCTTACTAATGCAGCTAGAAACGCAACAGAAGATGGTCAGAATGCATGCGCATGTGTCACCCATGCAGGAGAGCCGGATGGACTTCCTGGCAGTTGCAGAATCTTGGGAAGTGATCCAGATGGATGATCATACCTGCCTCCCTTCCTCTCTCTTTCCCATTCAAACAAATGCATCTTTTAAAAAATAAGTTATAGCATACAATAAACATCCAGAATCCGTAACCAATCACAGTACTTTCTCAAAATTCAGTTCCACATTTTAAGGGATGAAGCAAGGACTCATTTGGGATTACATTCAGCATTAAATTTGGACATGTGGATTTCATAAATTCAAAAATTGTATTGCATTTTATTTAAAGTCCAATAAGTTGTTGTCTTCATAAGTTATCCCTTTTATTGACAATTTTGAGATGTTGGAAGCACATGAAGGATTCTGAAGGATCGGCAGTGTGCCACTCTGCCCCACCTGGGATGGCATCTAACAGCCATGACATAAGTGCCTGCTCCCTAGAAACTGGGTCAATCAATTCTGTTGCCAACTTGAATAGAATTCTGACCTGTGGACAGATTTAGTGAAAACTAAGCCAAATGATGTTAAGTTCAGTCCTACAGATTTTTTCATACTTCTCTCTCCACAGCAACACGGACGTGCATACAGTGGCATCCCTGCTTAAACTGTATCTCCGGGAACTTCCAGAACCGGTGGTCCCTTATGCGAAGTATGAAGACTTCCTGTCATGTGCCAAACTGCTCAGCAAGGAAGAGGAGGCCGTACGTTGATCCGTATCTGTTCTTTCCAAATAAGCTTCTGCTTGGAGTTGTCAGTTTTCTGAGTCTTTATAAGTTTCCCTCTGTCCAATTCTTGGTTTGTTTCCTGCTATGTGTGCTGTGTATTGACATCATACACCTTTAGATGTTATACACTACAGTGTGGATGCTATTTTTGTGATTCTTTTTTTCTCCTGAAATGAACATGGCTGAATAATAATATCAGCCCTGCTTGTCACTTTCAGCTCACTGAATGGTCGATTCTACTGCCACACAGCTCATGTATTCCATGAAAAAAAAAGTGGGTGTATATTTTATAATCCACTTTTCATTGGGTGCTGCCTAATCAGCACCAGTAGTGGGCAAGGATTTACATCCACTGCTTGCATTGCGAAAACAACTTTATTGGTATATGATTTGTGCACTTTATAACCAGTCATTTGAACTATGCAGATCACTAGCTGGTAAATTCTCAGAGTTGTGCAAATACTAAATTCTTATTTTGGAGTATTTACAAGATTTGTATCACCTTCAAATAAACCACCCACCCTTCCTATTTACCTCTATCCTCGGGACATACAACTAATCTATTTTCTGTCACAATAGATTTGCCTATTCTGAACATTTCTTATAAATGGGATAATTCAACATGTGATTTCTTGCAACTGCTGTTTTTACCATTTTATATGTGTTTTACTGAATATCATTATTTAATTTCTTTTTATTTCTATATAATACTCTACTGTCTATCCATTCATCCATTGAAGGACATATGTTTTAGTTACATTGTTGGACTACTATGATGTTGTAAGCATTGATATAACATGACCATATAATTTCATGTTTCTTGCAAGAATTTCTGGGCCTACAGACAATGGGAGCAGGTTGTAATTTTCTGCATCTCTGTCATCACTTGTTTTGCTCTGTGTGGCTTGTGACAACCATCCTCATGTGCACAAGGTGGAATCTCCTCACTGAGGTTGGAATGAAAGCATCCTAAAGGCTGATGATGTGAATATCCTTCAAAGCGCACGTTGGCTTTGTGTATGTTCTGTGGATAATGTAGAAGACTTCTCTATTACTTAGGCTAGAATAATTCCAGTGCCTACGGGGATTGGTTCTAGAACCCTGCAGTGTTCCAAAGTATGTAAATGTTCTGTCTCTCATATGAAATGACAAAGTATTTACATATAACCTATGCCTCTCCTCCATTTTACTTTAAATCACCTGTAAATTAATATATTGTCCATGTTATCTAAAAGTTTATGCATTTTCCTAGTTTAGATAGAAAGCCATATGAGTTTTCCCTATTTACATAGACGCACATATATAACTTGCAAATATTTTCCTCTTTGTGTGACTCATGTACTCATTTCCTTGATGCTGTCTTTGAAGCACCAAGGTTTTAAATTTTGATAAAGCCAAGTTTATCTGTTTGCTTTGTCAGCTGTGGGATTAGAAGGCCTTTGTTAGCACAAATCACAAAGACTCCTGTACTAGGACTTCAATATTCAGCTGTTGCACTTATGTCTATGACTGTTATTGACTTTGTTTAAAATGCATGGGAACCTATGGAAGGGGAACCTTTACATTCCGTTTCCATGAGAATGTCTAGTTGTCCCAGACCTCTTGTTCAAAGGCCTATTCTCTATCCTGCTCCCATCAAATTTTCTTGCATTATTGTCAAAAACAGCGTTATTTTTGTTTGTTTTGTTTGTTTGTTTGCAAATGCAGCTTATTCAATCATGTAATAGTGTCTGGCTGCTTTAGTGCTGCCGGAGCAGTAGTTTTTATAGAAATTCTATGCGCTCTAAACACATGACACAGTTTTTCATAAGGAGCAGGGAAATAAAACCTGATTGCATTAACCATTTTACTTCTGAGCTCATTTGAATTTAGAGGCAAATAGGTAATGAAAAGAAATAAATTAATCTCTTATGAAGTTTCCTGGAAAATGAGACTTTCCAGTCCCTGACACAAGTGTAGCCATGACAGAATCAGTGCAGTCTGTAGGCCTGTGTTTATGTATGTTCTGGGTCACTGTTTAGAGCCTTTTTTTAAGGGAAACATTGATATAATTGAGACCACCTTCATTGTCCAGTCATATCAGAAAAAAATGCTATAAGTGTTTAAAGAGTTTTATTTACATATGCTTCTCCATAAGTAACAGCACTTATGGAGATATTTAGCATCGTAGAAAATATTTCTATTGTGTTCACCATGGTGATAGCAAATTTTCATAGAAACATCTCTCATTGAGCACAGATGGTATTAATGTTTTGTTAAAAGAGCAGCACAGCCAATTGCAGCTGGACTTAACTTCAACACCAACAAACACAGAGAGGTAACGATTTATTCTCCTTACTCTTTGTTCTTAGGGTGTTAAGGAATTAGCCAAGCAGGTGAAGAGTTTGCCAGTGGTCAATTACAACCTCCTAAAGTACATTTGCAGGTAAGAATTGTCTTAAAGGGGAACAAAACTGAAGCATATTGTATTTCTCCTGACAGTAATTTATGTTTGTCAACAAATATCATCACTTAATTGCTCTGAGTTAACTACTGTAAATACTAACATGTGAGGCTTTTGTCATTTTTGAGCCAATGCATGGTATCATGATGGAGAATAAAAGGGCTATGTTTCCATAAACAAAAGAGAAGAAATTCTGGTTTGAGATCTTTGTGTTCACAATAGAAATACTTGATCTCTCCTTACGCATTTTAGTAGGTTTTGTTTTGTTTTTGCTGTCAGATAGTTCAGATATTTCATACATTCTTTGCCTCGGTTTTCCTGCGGGTTGAGTTTGAAGATGTTTTTCTGTAAAACCATGGAAAATGCATATGTAAAAAGTGCCATTCAATTAAAAAACAGTTTTGCATTGAAATACATTTATACTTTTTTTCTCATTCTCAATGAATCTTTTGAAATCCCATCATGTAACAATCATAAACCTATAAAATAGGCACTTTTTGGAAAGTCATGATCGAGTACTTCAGAGCATGAACTTGAGGGTCAGACCACCAGGGGTCACATTTCAGCCCTAATATGTACCAACTGTCAGCTCCTTAACTTGCTCTCATCTGTAAACTGGCAATAATAGCAGTACTTCCCTTTGAGGATTTAACAACTTTGCACCAAGAACCATTCATAGTAGTGCTATGTAGTTGGTATTTTTATTTCTGTTTCTCATTGTGTCCATCAGTGCAATTAGCAAGCCATGGAATAATCAAGATTCCTATAGAAGTAAAGAAGAGTTCATGGACGAAAAAAAGTCTCTTCTATTAAAAGTATTTTTCCATGACTCTCATTTTTAGCAACTAGTAAATTGAAATAATTTGTGCTTACTGCTTTTTCCTGTCAGTAGAACTAATGATTTATTTCCTGAGTTAGATTTAATTTTTTTAATAGACTAAGTTTGTAGTTTATAAGTCCTTCTTTCAAGAGGGCTTGTTCCCCACTCTTTAATATACAGGATTATATTGGAATGTTTTATGTATTGTTCTTGAGTTTAGTATTTATATAAATGTAACTTCACTAAAAGACAAGAAGGAAATTCACAGTACTGACTTTCAAGCTCATATTAGAATTGTCCAAACACATTGATTCCAAATTATTGTTAGAGGAAGTCAAACCAAACCAGGTCCAGGTGGATATTTGATTTGTTCCCTTAGGTTTGAAACTTCCTAATCTACAGTTTACTTTTTCCATATATTTAAGTGAGAAATACTTGACTCTCCAAATGGCTTTATCTCTAAGGTCAACTTAGCTTAAAACATACTTCAGTTTTTTTCAATTTCAATCATCCATTTTCTTCCACTGACAAATTTAATCCACTTGTCTTTTGGTCTTCTTTTCATGCACAACAGATTCTTGGATGAAGTACAGTCCTATTCTGGAGTTAACAAAATGAGTGTGCAGAACTTGGCAACTGTCTTTGGACCTAATATCTTGCGTCCCAAGGTGGAAGATCCTTTGACTATTATGGAGGGTAAGTTATTTTTATTACGTTGTTATCAAAAATTATATCAGTTGCATCTTGGTTGGCCAGTATGTAGTCTCCTTTGAGCAATCTAAGGAAATACTAAGGAAAAGTTGGTGGAATTGGGTAAAGACACGTTAAGCCAGACAAAGGATTAGTGGAGGAGAAGCAGAGAGGGCCCGACTCCAGGTGTTGCGAGTGGACATGCCAGTGGCAGAGAGGCAGCTGTGGACTGGTGACCATGGGTAATCAGCCGAGACAGCAGAGCAGTGCTGATACTCCATCAGCAGCCCAAGTGTCACCAGGAAACAGGGGGGAAGTGAAAATCATCAGGGACACAGGTGGTGAATCAAGTTACAGAATCTTTTAGTCACAAAAAAAGCTATAGAATCACAGGTCTAGGTCATTTTTAATTCGATCACAAGCCAAAATAAAGCTGCGGAGCTGTGCAGATGGTCCTGTGAGCAGGATAGAGTTCATACCAGCACCCCGCCATTGCAATGGTGACACCGTCATGCACCATTTCCAGTATATAGAGGAGAACTGCAAGCTAAATACATGCTAAGGTTGAGGAAAACCCACATCCAGCTCTCCAAAGGCTTTCTGTGCAATCCAACGAATTTTATTGGTCCCACTAGGAAAACAGTAACAACTGGGTATTTCACAGATTCCATCCAAAATAGGTCCCAGTTATCTTCCGACTTAGCCGTGTGTCACAGACCAGAGCGCCAGCAGGGAAACAGGCACGGGTGACGACCCTGCGATCCGATTTGAAGATACAACTGGTGTCCCCCTGATTTCAGGTGTCGTTTAAACCATGAGTGAGTGAAAGACTGATCAGATGACGGGATGGCCAATTCACAGGATCGCAGGGGGTAGAGGAGACCCATGTGTCAGTAGCTGCAGAGGCTGCTACTGGAGCCTGAGAATGAAATTCGCTGGAGAAAGCGGCACAAGTGCCACAAATGGAGAACCTGGCACTGAACGGGACCACTCAAGTCCATGTGTAGACCTGTGAACCATACAGCTTACAGATAAAAATCAGCCCGCGGGATAGAATCCACTAAATTGTAACGGCCCAGGGCAAAAGAGGCACAGGCAGCATGAAGTAGGGTACTGACACCTTCCCCTCAAAGGATCATAAGACTCAATCAAAGAGTTTAAAATATTTCAATATGCACCATAGCATATTGATTAAAATTTGTATATTGGTTACAGATTGACTTGATTGGACCTGTAGACATTTCCTACCCCGAATTTTATTGATTGTATATGCCTGGTTCAATTTAATATAGTCCTGTTTCTCCTATATTTTCCGAAATTTGGAATTTTGTCCAAATTAATAAAATTCCTTTTGCATAATAATATGTTTGTTTTATTTCTAAATCAGAGGCCATATAACACATACTTATCTCTGTTTGGGGGAACTTAATATATGTCCTAAAACTATTAATTCACCAGAAGACAAAATGGTGTTATTATATCTTTATTTTTTCTATAATTTTGTTGTGATTAAATTCACATAAAATTTCCTGTCTTAACTCATTTTAAGTACACAGTTCAGTAAGAGCAAATGCATTCGTACTATTGGGCAACTATCAATACTATACATCTCGAGCTCTTTATCTTGCCAAATTGAAACTGTGCCTATTAAACACATCCCTCCTTCTCTCTGCCTAGTTCATGGCAGCCACCATTCTACCCTCTGTTAAGATGAATTTCAGGTCTCTGGGTACTTGATGTAAGTGGAATCACATGGTATTGTCATTTTTGATGGACTTATTTTACTTACCATAATGTCTTCAAAAACATTCATGTTGGGTTACTTTAATTTTTGATGTAATAATCAGGAGATTTTGCCTGAAACACCTCTTTTTTCTCATCTACTACTTAGTATCTGCATGGTAATGTTCGTATATATAAACAGCAGGGTAGACTTCTCGAATCTCCACCTGACTTACAGTTCTTCCAATTCATCATAAAGTATGCTTCCTTCCTGTTAGTCCTTACTTCAAACATACACACACACACACACACACACACACACACACACACAGCGCCATAAAATTCATTGAAAAAATGCAATTAAGAGATAATGTAAATGTTTCTTGAACTCTTGGAAATCTTGTGTGTGGTTTGTGTGTCTGTAGTGTGCACATGAAACTCTATGTTGAATGCTCCTCATCAGTTGAATATTTTTTATGTTTCCCTAGCTTAGTGGTTCCCAAATGTGGACCACTAAACCTGTGAGGCCTGGGAGGCAATAGGAGATCTAGGGGTTCATATTTCATTACAATATGAAGTTTATTTTGCCATTCTGTAGTCTCAGCATCTTTATTACTGCGCAAAAGCAATGAAGGGTCAAACAACTACTTTCTTAGTGTGAATCAGGATGGCCTTGCCAAGTTCTGCTAGCATGATGCACTTCACAGCCAGGCATTTGCAACAGGTCAGAAAATGCTAATTTTTAAATAATTTTAATCAATCCTACCCTAAGAATACATTTTTTTTTCAAGTTCTGGTGAAGTGATGAATTCTCTATATAGGAAACATCTGCATTATAAGTAATACAATGATTTGCTCGAGGAAAATTATTTGTGTGGTTATTTAAGATATGAGCAGTTCTCATTTTACTTGAACATCTAACAAACAAGCATCTAACAAACTGTGAATATGCGGATGAGCATTTGACACAAACTTTCTCAAACATGAACTGAGTCAACTTTTCACTTTAAGAAATGTAACTGGCAGAATTGGTTGCCGTTGATAAAATTTGAACTTTCTTGAGAAAAAAAACGTAGCTAACACCTTCAACTTGACAGCTTTCTAAGACTTAACTGCTGTGAGATGAGATTAATGTTGGCATGAACAAATACATCCTTGATAGTATGAGTCAATGTGTCTGTACTTGGGAGATTGAGATAATTTGCTGAATTTTTAAATAGTGTGCTATAAGAAAGCTACACTGGTAAAAGATCCATTTGGTAGGAATGGTGTTTGTCACAGCAGTTAAGATGCCACATGGTATGCCCGTGTTCTACATCAGAGTGCCTGATTACCAGTCCTGCTTCACTTCTGATACCAACTTCCTGTTAGTGCACACACAGGGACACAGAAGTGATGGCTCAGGCATTCGGTTACCAGCCACTTCACAGGAGATTCTGATAGAGTCCCCAGCTCTTAGTTTTTCCCTGGCTCTGCCTTGGTTGTTGCTGGCATTTGGGCAGTTGGCCAATGTGTGGAAGACCTCTCTGTTTCATGTTTCTCTGTGTGTGTGTATGTCTGCCTAGATTTAATTTTCCTAATTGAAACTTTATAAATAACCTAGTTTCGGTAAAATAATCATATCTGATGATAGAATTTAATCTTTAAAACAGTAATATTTTAAGATATTTTTTCATTTGTTTATTCACTTAATATTCAGTAAGGTAACTACTTTGTGCCATGATACTAGGAAACCAAGAATTAGATATAGAAAATGTTGAGAGATCTACAGAGGACAAATGAAACATCATGTGAGTTTGCATACAAGGACTCTGCTCAAGAGTGTGGCAGGAAGTTCTAGAAATCAATAAACAGTTCCTGAGAATTCCATAATGCTTAAAATAAAGTGACACACAGAGATAATGGGAGGTCCTGATAATAAGGTGTTAGGGTCCTCCGAAAGTGTGGATAAGGCACTTTTGTGATAAGTATTTGCCTTATCATAAAAGGCAAAACGATGGGCCCATCCTTTCAGAAATTTAAAGCAACCTTAAGAATGCAGTGGAAATTTAGCAAAGAAGAGAAGGATTGAACATAAAAGATTTTTTCTTTAGTCAGTGAAAGGATTTGGTATATTCTATAATTCAATCTTTACATCTCACGTATGTCAAAACCCACAGAACACGCTGCACAGTGAATTCTACTGTAAATCATGGATATTATCTAGTAATAATGTATAAATATTTCTGTATTAATTCTAACACTAATGCAAGATTTTGCTACGGGAAACATGGAAGAGGGTGGTGGTGAAGAAATATTTGCAGATCCTCCATATTCTCTCTATATTTTTACAAACCTGAGAATGCGCTAATGCTCTAAAAGCAAAGAGTATTAATGTAAAATAAAATGATGCAGATGATCTTCCAGCATTCAACTCTAAGCCAGAAAAAAATCAACACCTCTAGAATATTTTTTTAGACAGCTCAATATGGAAAGTTCCTAATACTTTTTTAAAACTACAAAATTCAAAGCGTGTAAATAATCAGGAAAATTTGAGCTGTGTACAAAAGAAAAAAATAAATCATAGAAAAGGACCCAGACATGACTGACTGAGCCAAGTCTGCCAGCAAGATATTACAAATTATACACACACATTCAGTAAGGCAAACATCAGTATCATGAAGCAAGGAATAAAAGACATTTTAAAAGTGCAAATGGGACTTCTGAAGATGAAAATCATAGCTAACATGAATATTGCATTGGAAGGATTAGCAGCAGATTGCAGATTGGAAAAGACAAACACTAAACAGACATTTAAGGCACACAAGTAAATATAGAAGAAACTATCCAACTTAGTGAAAAGGAAAAATGCAGATTTTTCCAAAATTGGTGAAAAGTATACAGATATTTCAGAAGTTCAAAATATACAAGGAGAATGAACATAAAAAGACGATGCAAAAGCATATCAATCAAAATGCTGAGAATCAAAAATAAAAAGAAAAATTCAGAAGTGGTGTGACAGTCGAAATACACATTACATACAGAGGAGCAAGGAGAAGAAATACAGAAGTGCTCTCGTAAGAAAGTATGTAAACCAAAAGGCAGACCAAAATCTTTACACTACTTTAGAATCAAGCCAGACTTTATAAACATATATAATGATCTTTGAAAATAGAGTTTGAAGACATAAAAAAAAAAAGCTCAGTGAATTCATCACAGTCCTGCCCGTCAAGATCAAAATACCCATTTAAATAAATAAATAAAAGGACACCACTACACATCTCTCACAAAGTGCAACATGAATGTAAAAAATACCAAGTTTGGCTAGTAGAAACACAAATTGTTAAGAGTGATTTAACATTTTAAAAAGTTCTTTTAAACTTAAAACATACCAATTATAACACTTTATAGAGTCATGTACTATTTACCAAAGAAGATATAAGTTATACCTTATAGACAGATATCCATATTGATTTCATTTATATTAGCTCCAAACTGAAAACAAACTTATTCTCTGTCAACTAATGAACAGGCAAATGATTGTAGCACATTTATAGAATGGAATACTAGTCAGTAATACTGATTCAGCCAAGAATAGCAATAGAGGGCAAAAGGATTACACCAATGAGAAATGCTTTTACATGATAGACTACACACTGTTACCATTTACATGAAATTCTATAAAAGGCAAAACTATGGTGACAGAAAACATATCAGTGGGTTCCATGATCAGAAAATGGAGAAGGGGAGTGTTGGGCTACCATGGATTACAGGATTTCTGTGGAATGACAGCATGGTGTTACCATAACTATGCCCATTTTGCCTAAATTCACAAATATCTTACTGATAGCTTGAGGCATGCATGAAAAATGATGCATGTATAAGTTATTTGCTGTAAACATATTATAGCTATATTGTTTTGAATGCTATCTATATGTTTTTAAAGAAAAGTTTGAATTCTCACACAATTCCTATAAAGAGAAGTGCTAGCAATATGGTATTTAATTTCTACCTATATGAAATTTTTGTGCAATAATATGCAAGCTATTGTGCAAGTGCTGTGAGATGACAGGATCTGCATGGAGTGTTTGGCATGGTCTGGGCCTAATACATTTTAAAATATTAAATTTGCCTTATTTTTGATGATGTTTACAAAATTAAGAGGGATGCATGTCCATGTGGACTAGCAATTAGGGTGGGGGGCCGAAGATTGGGAGAAAATGGATGAGACAGTTGCCTCCAATCTCCTTTTTCTTTCTGGTATCTGGGAAAAGTGGAGAAAGAAGGGGAGAGGGCCACTCCTCTTTGTTTGGATTTAATATTCCCCCATTTGCATTCTGTAGAAGCAAATGCCAGAAGAGGATATAAAAATAGGGAATGTATAATCTGTACAGTGATATACACACCATTACCATTTTTAGCAAGCTAGACTATCCTAAAAGGCTGTTAGAATTTATCATCAAGAAGCAGTTGCCATTTATTGTTCTAGGGACTAGATGAAAGCAACGCTTCCCAACATGCCAACAACAGTACTAAATTTGTAGGTCCCTGACACTTTATAATTGTGGCAAATTTGCTCTGCTGTGGCTATTCATAAATGCATCACGGAGACCTGGAGGATGTCTCACTTCATTTAATTAAATGTCTTCCATCGTTCACAGCTAGGATGAAAAGCAAGGCAGCTTGGAATGTGGATATATCAGTGATGGCAAAAGGTCCATCGTACCAGAGCACGAGGTAGAGTGATATATAATAGAAGCTCAAACCTTTCAAAGTACATGTGTCACATGGACAGATAGTAAAGGAGCATGAAGTACGCAAATGCCTTCCAACACCATACATAATAATGACACTGTTGACGGCTATTTTAGCTGCTCTAAAACCTTCTCAACAGACTCATTGTCTTGGAATTAGATGAGACTATTAAAGGAAGAAAAATGTGCATAGGATTCATTTTATTCAACCTTTCATCTCACACAGCTTTGTAATAATCTATGGTGAATCTATGGAAATCTATTGTTTTTCATCTCATTTAGTGTTTAGAACTCTCCCAAATGTATTTATTGCTTCTATGCCTTTATATACCAAGTCAACATATAGCAGATTAAGAATAACAAGACTATTAAACTTCACCTTGGTCACTTACTAACCCTCCCAGTTTAAAGTTTTTCATCTGAAGAAAAAAAAAATTAAGCTCCATCCCTCAGACTTTTGAGAAGCCTACACAGATTCAATTGAAATGTTTCTATCACTACAGTATTTCTCAAACTTCAGCATGCAGAGGAATCCCCTGGGGATATTATTAAAATGTAAATTCTCATACAGAATTTTCATGTGGTGATTCTGAAAATGTCAAGCTTCCCTGTGATGCCAATGAGTGCTACCCCTCTGTTTCTTCTTGGAGTCTCCCAAATGCAGTACAACTACAAATCCAGGTGTTCCCTGTGCCCCCTAAGTGTCTCCTTAGTTAGATTCTGTATCTTACCAGGCTCTCTTGAAACCATCTAACAACAGATCTCAGACCTGGGGCCTTGTCAGTGCTTGCTTTACATTTATGATTTGAATCATCACAGAAAAACCAGCAATATAACTGAATGTAATGTGATAGATTCTTTTCCCCTGTCCAAAATCTTCTTTTGCTTTAAGCCAAAGAATGGCCAGGCCCCAGGTCAGGTTTCTGTATGAACAACCTATCCATCAATGGCTCTTTTAGAGGAAGTTTGCATTTTTAAAAGCCCCTTTCATTATTTCCTTCACCAAATCACACATTATAAGTATTTAATATAGAAATTGGATTTACTAAATTGCTTTCCTAAATTTACTTGTCAAAGACTACTTTTAGGATCTCTAATTAGCATTGTATGAATATACTTTAGACATCAAACTGGTATATTTCAAGCCAAAGTAAAGATAAAGGATACTTGAATGAGACCCTACTGTTTCATTATTTTGACATTTTATTCCATTTTATTTCATTTGCAACCCAGAGGCAGGTTAGGGGAGAGGTAAAGAGAGAGCACACACCTGCTCCCCTTTGCTAGTTCACTTACCCAAATGTCCACACTGGCCAGGCGGGGCTAGGCCAGAGACAAAGGCCGTGCCAGAAACACAGTCCAGGTCTTCCAGATGCCTGGCAGAGATCCAGCCATGTTAGCCATCATTGCTCCCTGCTGGGTTCCACATTAGCAGGAAGCTGGAAACAGGAGCAGATCTGGCATTTAAATCCCAGCACTGCAATATGGGATATAGACATCCCAGACACATGCCTCTCCTTGTGGATACATTTTAAAAGGTAATACTGAATAAGATTCTTAGGGAGAGGGTGGGGGCCTCAAGGTAAGAAAGTGATTTATATATCTAGGGTTTAGAGATGTTAGGGTAGAGAAGCTCAGCTTACAACCTGAAGGGGAATGTACAAGAATGTACTTTGAGATTTCAGCTGGTATATGATGCAACCCAGTAAGTCAAATCTCTGCCCTTAAATCACTTAACTGTATTTCCTTAAGAGCAACATTCAATCTAGAAAACTCAAAGACTCACACTGCTTTATTTTTTTTCTGTGTGATTCCAGGTACCGTGGTGGTCCAGCAGTTGATGTCAATGATGATTAGCAAACATGACCGCCTGTTCCCAAAAGACGCAGAACTGCAGAGTAAGCCCCAAGAGGGGGTGAGCAACAACAACAATGAAATCCAGAAAAAAGGTGCCATGGGTCAGTTACAGAACAAGGAGAACAATAACACCAAGGAGAGCCCCGGCAGGCAGTGTTCTTGGGACAAGTCCGAGTCTCCCCAAAGAAGCAGCATGGAAAATGGATCTCCCACGGCTCTATCAGGCAGCAAAACCAACAGCCCAAGGAACAGCGCACACAAGCTGGATGTCTCCAGGAGCCCGCCTCTCATGGTGAAAAAGAACCCAGCCTTCAATAAGGGAAGCGGAATAGTCACCAACGGGTCCTTCAGCAGCAGCAATGCTGAAGGCGGGGAGAAGACCCAAAGCACCCCCAATGGGAGCTTACAGGCTAGAAGGACCTCTTCCCTGAAGGGGTCTGGTACCAAAATGGGCACGCACAGTGTCCAGAATGGAACTGTGCGCATGGGCGTTTTGAACAGTGACACACTGGGGAACCCCGTGAATGGCAGAAGCATGAGCTGGCTGCCCAACGGCTATGTGACCCTGAGGGACAACAAGCAGAAAGAACAAGGCGGAGAGTCTAGCCAGCACAACCGGCTATCCACCTACGACAACGTCCACCAGCAATACTCCGTAATGAACCTTGAAGACAAGCAGAGTGTGGACAGCGCCACCTGGTCCACCTCCTCCTGCGACATCTCCCTCCCCGAGAACTCCAACTCCTGTCGCTCCTCCACCACCACCTGCCCAGAGCAAGACTTCTATGGTGCGAATTTTGAGGACCCAGTTTTGGATGGGCCCCCGCAGGACGATCTTTCCCACCCTGGGGACTATGAAAACAAAAGTGACCGAAGAAGCGTGGGAGGCCGAAGTAGTCGGGCCACCAGCAGCAGTGACAACAGTGAAACGTTTGTTGGAAACAACACGGGCAACCACAGTGCCCTGCACAGTTTAGTTTCCAGCCTCAAACAGGAAATGACCAAACAGAAGATAGAGTATGAATCCAGGATAAAGAGGTGAGTTACATCTTCTGCTTGTAGGTGCTATGGGCTAGGGTTTGCACAGAAACTGTCTTTCAAGATGCCAAAAACATTCTTTGTATTTAGATTAGAAAAAGAAGAAAAAACGTATCATTCTGAAACTGGAAATGTAGGTCTACCTTTCTTCTTCTTTTTTTAAGATTTATTAATTTATTTTAAAGGCATACAGAGATGGATATAGAATGGGAGATACCTTCCATCTGCTGATCCAGCCCCTAGTTGTTTGCAGTAGGCCAAGCCAAACCCAAAAGCCTGAAAATCCATCTATATTTCCTGCATGAGTAGCAGGGACCTAAGCACTGGGCCATCCTCTGCTCTCCCAGGAGTGTTAGCAGAGCGCTGGATCAGAAGTGGAGTGTCCAAGACAATGGCTTCTCAGCACAGGCAGGGGTTTAACGCACCACACCACAACCCCAGCCCCAGACCTTTCTTTCTGAAGACATTGAGAGAGATATTTGTTCTGAGATCTGAGGTATATTTCATAGACTCTGATAAAGTAATAGAACTTTCCAACAGAGTGCTGTCTGGATGGGTCACTTCACTGTGGCATTCTCACCACAAAACAGGCCAAGGGAAAGCCCTGAAGGGAGGTGTCAGTGTGGTCGAAGCTGCCAGTTGGCCAAGCCACAGATAGACAACTGCCATTTAATTTTCCATAATCCCTGTTTATACTTCTTTAATTTTTTTAAATCCTTGTTAATGCTACCCCACAAGTATTGAGGAAGAACGGATGGGTTGAAAAGGAGGGTCTGGAGGGAAAGGTGTTGGGAGGAAGGTGGATAAGTAGGTAGATGATACAACATTTTGCATTGTTTTGTAAGGTGAGGTATGTTTTCTTTGCTTTTTAAATATTTAGGATTTGTGCTCTTCTTGCCTCCTTCCAATTTTACTTTTGTTAGAAATAATTCTTAGAAAAATAAATTATTAACATTATCTTCCTAGAAAATACCATAGTGTGATTAGAAAAGTTCATTTCTATAGTATTAATCATTTGACTGTTCCTCTGTCATTGAGTCGGAATGATACGTTCATACATGAACAGTAGAGCAAGTATGTTAATCCAACATTTCAAATCTACACTCCTCTCCCATGCTGGAGGCCTCTCCTCTGTGGCTATCTGAAAATGAAACAGGACAACCAGCTCCACCTCCAAGGACTTTTCACAACTGGAGGGCCTTGCGCTTCTTCTTTCTAGTCTACATTTAAGTTTCTTCCTCGGCTGTGATAACCCAAGATGGTCTTGATTTATTTTAACTCAGAACATTATGTGTTTTACCAGCATTTTTGTTTGCGTCTATTATGGCGGTTGATTTCTATCCTCAACTCAACTTGGCTTGCTGCATATTTCATACGAGTGCCTGACATACACATAATCAGGTGTTTTAAATACTGTTTTGTGGTTTTCTTTTTAAGCTTGCTTCATCAACCAATATACATTTAGAAAACGAGGATAAACTCTAGAATAATTGTCAGCAAATGCACAATGGCACATTCTTATAGAAAAAATGTGACCATGCGTTTAAAATGGCCTCCTAAGAAAGAATAAAATAAATAAAAGAATAAAAGATAAAATAAAGATAAATAAAGATAAAATAGATAATAAAGAATAAAATATATTCTTTCAAAAAAATTCTACTTGTTATAAAGGTATTCTTAGAATGTGGATTAGTTATCAACACATGTGCGTCATTTTTTTTCAAAAGAATAAAATAATTTGAATTTTGATTTCTAAGAGTTACTAAAATAACTGGATTTCTGGGAGCTATGCGAAGATTGGCCTCTCAGACTTCAGTGATAGGTAAACATGACTCAAACCCTTGGGACTGTAACTCAGGAGAGGGAAAGTGGAAAGCCAGATATTACCAGGTTATAGCTTTTAAAAAAGATTTATTCATTTTTCTTGGAAAGTCAGATATACAGAGAAGAGGAAAAACAGAAAGACCTTCTATCCTCTGATTCATTCCCCAAGTGACGACAATGGCCAGAGCTGAGCTGATCCGAAGTCAGGAGCTTCTTTTAGGTTTCCCACTTGGGTGCAGGGTTCCAGGCTTTGGGCCGTCCTCAACTGCTTTCCCAGGCCACAGAGGGCTAGAAGGGCAATGGAGCAGCCGGGGCACAAACCAGAACCCATATGTGATCTCAGTGTGTGCAAGGTGAGGATTTAGCCTCAGGGCTACTGTGCCAGGCCCCCCAGTTTATATGTTATAATAAACAAGACCTTACTACTTCTTTTGGGCAAACAGTGGTGTCTGTGTGTATACATGTGAGAATATTTGAATACATTTATATAAAATGCAATTCATGATAACCTTATTTTGGTGTAAAAAAACTTGAAATCAATGTGCAGCTTCTTCATGATGCACATTTGTTGCTAAGATCTTGTGTGTGTGTGTGAATTTCATCTTTTTTACCCCAATTTAAAACTTACCTTTAGGACCTATCACAAAAGCTGTATGAGTAGTTGTGAAATAATACAACAGAATGACAGAATGAAGTATTTTCTTAAAGATTTATTTATTTTTATTACAAAGTCAGATATAGAGAGGAGGAGAGACAGAGAGAAATATCTTCTATCCGATGATTCACTCCCTAAGTGACTGCAACAGCCAGTGCTGAGCTGATCTAAACCCAGGAGCCAGGAACTTCCTCTAGGTCTTCCACACAGGTGCAGGGTCCCAAGGCTTTGGGTCATCCTCAACTGCTTTCCCAGGCCACAAGCTGAAACCTGGATGGGAAGTGGAGCTGCCAAGATTAGAACCGGCGCCCATATGGGATCCCAACGCGTTCAATGCAAGGACTTTAGCTGCTAAGCCACGGTGCTGGGCCCAGAATGAAGTATTTCAAAACTATGAATGTAGCATCATAGGTTTGCAAGGGTTCATTCTAATTTCCCATTGTAGAGACAGAATCTAAAGAAAATATCTGTACCCCTCTCGTATATGTAAAATAAATAAAATCTTACTCTTTCTTCTTTCCCCGTCTCACCCTTCATAGCTTAGAACAGCGAAATTTAACTTTGGAAACAGAGATGATGAGCCTCCACGATGAACTGGATCAGGAAAGGAAGAAGTTCACAATGATAGAGATCAAAATGCGCAACGCCGAGCGGGCCAAAGAGGATGCTGAGAAAAGAAATGACATGCTGCAGAAAGAAATGGAGCAGTTTTTTTCCACATTCGGGGAGCTGACTGTGGAACCCAGGAGAACGGAGAGAGGAAACACGATATGCATCCAATGAGCCTGCTTTCTCCCACTGTCTCTGATGGCTCTGGGAAGGACAGGGGAGGTCGGGTGGGATCCTGCGGGGGATCAGGTGGCTGGTCACCTGACTGTACAGAGCACTAATGGGTGAAGGAGTTATCATTTCCAGGCATTAACCATCCATATTTGCAATGTGTACCAAAGTTATACCATGCCTCATAATGCTACTGTCAAGTGTTACAACTGGATATGTGTATATAGAATAGTTTTTAAAAGTGAACTAAAAATGAGAAGTGTATCTCAAGAATTATTTTATTGCAAGTCTTGTATTTAAAATGTTAATATGTTGTTGCGATTTAGCTTGCTTTCAAGCTCCACCCCTTGCACTTAACATAAGCTATTTTTGGCATTGTCTTATCATTGCTTATTTTATAGATCACTATTTTTATTTCCCCTTTTTTTGCTGAAGAGATGAAGATAAGCAGAAATATAAATATATATATATATAAGGCTATATGAGTTATTAAAATCAAAAGAATTCTTGGTGGCTGTGCTGTTTGTGCCAATAGATCTTACCATGACCAAAAAGAGAAATGTAAATAGTTTTATAAACTACAGTTGAATCACCAGGGACCTCGAAGTTGCTCCTTGAACTCTGCTCCTGGCTCCACTTGTTTTGGTTTGTGAGATGATTTTACACAGGCACTTGGAGGAGGTCTAAGAACAGTCTCCTTCCCGAGCCCGGTCTGCCTCACCAGCTGTGACATGCATCTCCTAAGCAGGATGTTACATACAGGGCACAGAGTGATGGCGTGTTGCATATGAACACTCCTTATTGGTTGGCCTGTTCTGCTGGACCAACTCTCTAACTGCTGAATGGTCCGTAGGTAAATTCTTCCTGCCATACAGACACTGAGAAGCAATACTTGCTAACTAAACCATGGCTGTGTATTCTTCCCTTAACAAACCTCTCCCCTCTGTCCCCAACAACTGCTGATGGGGATTCGAGCAGTTACATGGTGTGACCAAGTTCCTCCTGGTGAAAGTGGTGGAGCGAGTAAAATTTAATGACATTTTTCTTCCACTCATGAGGGCCACTACCATCTGGGATTCTCTGCACTACAACTTGCAGTAAGGAGATGATGATGATGATGGAGGGAATGGGGGGGACCAAGAGGAAGAAGCAAATTTGAATATTTTGTTTTTGGTTTTAACAATGTCATGTTTCGTGTTAAGACATACTCACTCATGATGATTGTAAAACACGGATGGTGAACAGTCCAACTTTGATGCTTTGCTGAACATCCATGATGCTGACAGTGAGCATGAGAGACATCCAGGAATCTCTGGATTTGGAGTTTGGCTAAAACAATTCCTCACACTTCAGTAAGACAATGATAGTTGAGAAGCCAAGTAATTAAGTCTCACATCAGAATGAAAGGTCACAAAAGGTTTAATCAGAAATAAAGTCTACTTGAGTTTATGGAATCTGCCTTGTGTGGAGATTGTGTATTGTGTGTGTTTATTTTTGAGAGGGATGGTGATCCTGACATCATCCATTTGTACCATTGTCCTGACTTTGTTTATATCTTCAAACTGGGCAAGCCCTGCGGTCTTTTGGCATTAACCGACGTCTACCAAGCAAGGAAGAACTTAACTATCACTAGTTGTTTTTATTATACATGCGTTCATTTTTCTATGAAAAAGAAATCCAGATAATGGCAGCGTAATGCTGTTAAATCAGATTCAAGGATAAACGAGACCCTATGCTCACGTTTAATGTTTCATTGTTTCTGAAAAGTTGGTACTCTAATCATGGCATTTCAGTTTCAGACTGCAGGAAAGAGAAAATTAAATGGAAAGGAAGCCCTTCTTCTATTTGCCCCATGCTTTTTGAAGTCTTCATAAAACCATCCCCTAGAACACTGATTTCTGTCTTATTGGTCAGAACATAACAATTTTTTTCCTACCTGAGATGCTGGAAACTCCTAACTCATCTGGACACATCATTGTCTCTAAATTATCATTAGTTCATTTTTTTTGTCTCTTTCTAATTATTTAATCATATACTTTCACCTGGATCTCTTGTAAGAAATTCAAAATCAAAATGTGTGAGACTGATCTTAATAACTTTCCCCCATCTTTTTCAGTTAATGAAAATCTGAGACTCATGGAACAAGCTATGTGACAACGAGTTATAAAGCAAAGGTTATACTCATATTATCAATAACCTGGTGGTAGTTCTTGTACCTTCCCAGCAAAACTCTTTTTTTCTGTGTGACTGAAAGAATAAGAATAGTATTTCTTAGCTGGTTTCAGTCAGCTGATTAGGCTGCAAAGAGCAACTGGTATCCAAGGTCTTGGAAGTATTAACTTATTTTTCTCTCTTTTGCCCTGTTGTTCACTCTTAATTTCATTCACCAAGACATCCATTTCCATCTATTTCTGCTTGCCTTTTTAATCTGCTCCTCTTGATCCATTTCCTCTCTCCTTTTGATGAAACTATTCATTCACACACTGTTGTCCCAGCTTTTCTCCACTTCTCTCTCCTTCGCAGGCTTTCCTTTCTAAATCCACCCACCTGGCTCTATCTTGGTCTTACAAAACTGAATGACTCGCACTCGTCCAAGATAGAGCTCTTCACATAGCATGAAAGACCCTGGCCTTCACTTTCATTCTTACCCGCTTTCACTTCCCATAATATCTGCTATGTGCCTGCATGCCTCCAGGATTCCCACTGGCCATTGTCCTCTTCTGCTCTGCCTTCTTTTGCTCTGGAATACCTTTGGACAGTAAAATCACCTATTCCCCATGAAGCTTACTAGAATATCAAATTCAACAATCAAAAGGCTTCTTAAAGAGTGGAAAAGGCAGGAAACTGAAAACCATTCAGACCTAGATCAACACGCTCAGCATAACATGCGTGGGACCTGGCAATGAGGAGTCCTTTAACCCCTCTGAGTCTCTTTTGCATAGTGAAAGCTAGAACTTTTCCAAAGTAGCAACATTGTTATGCTTCAAGAGATCATGTAGGGAACAGTGTTGTGGCAGTTAGGTTAAGCTTCTGCTTGAAGAAATGCAGGTTCAAGTCTTGGAGCTCCACTTCTGATCCAGCTCCCTGATAATATGCCTGGGGAAGTAATGGCAGATGACTCAAGTACTTGGGTCATACCAACACATGGGAGTCTCAGATGGAGTTTCTGGCTCCTAACTTCAGTCTGGCCCACCCCAGCCAGGGGCCATTTGGGGAGTTTATCCACATATGGAAGGTCTTTCTCCCTCTCTCTCTATTATTACTCTGGCTTTCAAATAAAGTTTTAAAACCCTTAAAAATTAAAGTGCATGTACTGTACCTGTTCTGGCATCTGCCAGTTAGCTCCATTGATAGTTCTACTGATAATTAGAGCTTATCGAGGATTGAGATTGTACCTTACTGATCTTCAATCCGTTTCCAGCTCCTTAATATGTCAAGAAGAGAACCAGCCCATAGATTCAAGCATTTGGGGGGCATATAATTATCCCTCCTGTTATTCAACCTATGTTCTAGGAGGAATGATGTCTGTTCGTGTTAATTATAAGTCCCAGTGGTGTCACTCTCCAATCCATTTCCATGAGCAGCATGTCCACTTGGGTTTCTATTAGTGCAACCCAAACTTTAGAAAACACCAACTGCAAATGGCCATAATAAGAAGTTTAAAATGAGTAAGAATACAAGGTATTTATGTAGCATTGAGCATTCACTTATTACATCCTACACACACACACACACACACACACACACACACACACACACATGTAATTGAATAATTCTTAAAATATAAACTCAGGAGAAAGGATCTGTTTCCAGGCATTTGCAGCCCTTTGGCACTAGTTGGTGTCAGTTTTACTAGCTGAACTATTTGCCTAATTGCCTTTTGTGGAACATTTAAACTAGAACTGTCTATGACAACAGGTCAACTGAAAGAGGAATTTAGTAAGTAACTATTAAGATATGACTAAAATATTTAACTTAATGTAATTCCTAACATGAGATCTCCTTTAAATACTAGATTGTACACATCACAGTTTAGACAACTTGAAAACCCAGTAGTCCTCAACAAAGTGCTGCCCATCACAAACGCCAGTTTCCTCCCATTGCAGTGCAGCGCGCTGATTGTAAAAGAGTCACAGAAAAGCACATACATAAGCTTTCAAAATCAGATGCTGAGGTTCAAATCTCACCTCTACTACTTAAGAGAACTATGCACTGTTTATAAAATTTTTTAGCTTCATTTATTTGCTGTTTCTATTTGAGAAACAATGTGACAAAGATAGAACTAGGGTGAGATCTTCTATCTGTTGATTCACTTCCCTGATGCCTGCAACAGCCAGAGCTGGGCCTAACTGAAACCAAGAACCTGGACCTCCATCTGGGTCACTCACCTGGGTGGCAGGGATGTATTATGTGAGCCATCACCTGCTGCTTTTCAGAGTACAGACTAACAGAAAGTTGGACAAGAAACAGTTGGGTCTCCAGCCAGGAACCCTGGTGTGAATTTTGCCTTCTTTTCTTCTTTCTTTTTTATCTTTACAGAAAGGTTATTTTAAAGATATATTTATTTTTATTGGAAAGACAGATTAACAGAATAAGAGACACAGAGAGAATGATCTCTCATCCAGTGGTTCATTCCCCAAATGGCCGCAATAGCTGGAGCTGAGTTGATCTGAAGCCAGTAGCCAAGAGTGTCTTTTGCTTCTCCTGTATGAGTGCAGAGTCCCAGGGCATTGGGCAATCTTTCCCATGTGACAAACAGTGAGAAGGATGGGGAGTAGAGCAGCTTGGACATGAACTGGTGCCAATTTGGAATCCCAGCCCATAAAAGGCCACTGAGCCATGTGCCAGGCCCTGAATTTCTTTCTTCTTAAAGATAATAATAATACCTTACTTATCCTATTTCTGTAATTGAAGAGATAGGTGCAGTACCTAAAACATGGCAAGTGCTCAGTAAATCATGGCTGTCTGCCCTCAAGTCACTGTCGTGAAAGGATTCTCCAGCCTCCACAGACTACAGCAGTTTGTGAGCTCACAAATTTACCAATAGAAAAAAAATGTCATGCCCACAAGCTGGAGGTATAATTATGTCCCTGTGCCACAATATTCTTTAACCTACAACTATGGCCACTGTCTCAAAACAATGTCTACAGAACTTGCCTGTGGCTATCCTTTGTCAGGTCTGCGATTTGCACGTTGAAGATGATACTGGATGTCAAAACTATTGGATACAGTATGATGCAATTATTTAAGGTTATGGGCTAGGTTTCTTGGGAAATCTTGGCTATAACGATCACATCATACGATACACTATAACAATGATTGCAGGATCACAAAGGTAAAGCGTGGAGAAGACTGTGTCATGTCTTGATGAGAATCCTTAGGTGTAGGAAGATATCAAAGATAATGGCTGTTCTAGGCTGCAGCCTTCCTAGCTCATGAAGCAGAGGCTCCAATGGGGTCTTCAGGGCACATCCTGGAGAATATTTTCAATGGATTTAAAATCACTTAGCAAATGCATGCCATCAACATTTCAATGCACACAACAACAAATCACCATGGGTCTGCAAACACACTTACTTATTCATAGAAACCAACCAGGATTAATAATCTGCTTGCCATGTTTGAAGTCACAAACCACAGGGAAGAGAACCGGAACCGTGGCTCCCCAAGGTCTGTTTCATTATTCTCTTTACAGTTCTTTTCTTATTTTTTAAAGATTTATGTATATATGTATGTATGTATTGGAAAGTCAGATTTACAGAGAGAAGCAGAAACAGAAGAATCTTTCATCTGCTAGTTCACTTACCAAGTGGCCACAATCACCAGAGCTTAGTTAATCTGAAGCCAAGAGCCAGGATCTTCTTCCGGGTCTTTCATGTTGGTTTCCGGTCTCAAAACTGTAGGCAGTCCTTCATTGATTTCCCAGGCCACAAGCAGTGAACTGGATGGGAAGTGATGCAGCTGGCACATGAACCAGTGCCCATATGAGGACTTTAGCTACTAGGCTACTGTGCCAGGTCCCTCCTTATAGTTCTGAATTGCACTAGTGGGAATGAATCGTAAGTTAGAACTGCTGAACTTACGGACCCCTTGTCACAAAGTGACTTTGAAAAGGAGCAATTGCCCAGCCAGAATCCTCTCAACCTATTAATCTAGGAGTAAAAGATTTAGCTGATGCAAGTATGTTTTGGAAGACATCATTAATGCCCATTCAAAGGGCTGAATGACATGACTTTATTTGTGAATTGTGTATGGCTACTACTTGAAGGCTAGAGCTAATACCCACTGATCTGCTTCAATAGAAAGACCAGGCCAGCTCCATTTTATTTGCCACCAGTCATCTCGTGCCCGTGAGGTCCTGAGCATCCCACACGTTCCTGTGAAACCACAACACCATTCCAGCCACATCCATCCAGCCCTCTCTTTGCAGCCAAGCCATTTCCTGCTGC